AATCTCATGGATAATGATGCTCTTAGTGTCATTCATCATTTCTCAACAAATTGATTATGATAGTGACTCTCTATTCACAATTGCCTCAATCACAACAAAATATAACGCATTTGTTCGGCCATAAAATAATCCTTACTCAAGAGCCTTTGGAGAAACTGAAATTAGATGTTACATGCTCAATAGATCAAATGCATGAAACAAGTTCCCCTCCAAAAAAAGTTACAAAGATATGGTTAAGAGCCTGAAATGTGAGTCACTTTGATATTCAAGAAATGGAATATGATCTTCAACTAAGGAACATCAAGATTATAAAACTAGTCTTGGTCTCCCTGAAATAAATAAAAGAAACTAAAGTTAGTAAAATTGTTGTCACGATCTAAGTTTTATTTGAAGCAAAAGTGAGAGATGGTACTAAAACTTCGGAAACCCTTTCCCTGAGTTCCTGTCTCCGAGTATGGTACTCCTTGTGCATCCTATCCACTCTGTTCTCTTTCGGTACTCTGAAAAACAGCATGAAATTAGTCATCGGTTGGGTTTTGTTGATGGGTCAATAGAAACGAATACGTAGAGACCAAAAAACACATACTTGTGTAAGAATGGGTACAAAATCCACCGGCAAAGACTCCCCAGAGTCCCAAAGTTTTCTGCTTTGACGTTAAGGAGAAAGAAGAGACGGTCGAAAACGCTCTTCCAATATACTGCAGTTTTTTCTCGATATCAACAAACACCGAAATCGGAAAGAGGAACAATTTCTTCCAAAATCAATCAAATTGGGTTTATTTACCTTTGACAAAACTGCTTGGTGAATTAGGGATACAGATGTTCAATGTTTGACGAAGTTTGGAAAGCCTATCCCACTGATCCTGTCTCTGCTTACAGTACTCGTCGTGCATCTTAATCACTCTGTCCCAAAACACTTTTCTCTTTCGGTACTCTGAACAGAGCATCAAATTATCAAGATATGGGTTTGTTGTTGATGAGGTCATTAGAAACGAATACCAAAAGACAAAAAAAAAAGACACTTGTGAAAGAATGGATACAAAATCCACCGGCAAATGCTCCCCAGAGACCCAAAGTTTTCTGCTTTGACGTTAAGGAGAAAGAGGAGACACTTGAAAACGCTCTTCCAATACACTGTATAGTTTTCGATATCAACAACACACAGAAATTGGAAAGAGGAACAATTTCTTCCAAAAATCAATCAAATTGGGTTTATTTACCTTTGACAAAACTGCTTGCTTCATCTTGCTCCTCGGTGAATTAGCCATGGATTCCTGGAACGAATTGATGTTCAATGTTTCGGTGAATTTAGGGATTTCGATCTTCCATGTTTGTTAATAACCCACAAGTTTTCAACGGGCTGAGCCCAATTTGATCCATTGACATTTGTAGCTAAATTTATATACAGTTGATCAGATCAAACCCTAGTTCCCAAAATTCGATGATGCGAAGCTCTGTTGCTCAGGTAATCACACTCTCTCGTCTCTGTCCGTGTTTCGTGCTTTGTAAGAAGAGTGGAATTTAAAGGAACGA